AGCTCGTTAGACACCAGCGTTCAGTTTGAACAGTTAAAGACTCAATGAGACGACGGTGACGTTTCAGAAAACTTTAAAGACTTAAATCCTGCCTGGCTCTGTGTGTTTGGAGTCTCTGTCAGTCAGAGGTAAAGTTCTGACCAGGACAGACACTCAAGCAAAGACAAACTCTCCACTGTTGTGTCTATACGTATGTTCTGCTATTGCTACATGGCTAACGTTAGCATGAACAGCTGTTTACCAGGCTTGGCAAGAGCTTCAGCCATTGTTGTGTTTACAAGACAAGAGGTTATAACACGCCCCCTGAGCAGCTACTTCTCGTCATTTTCCGATACCGAGTCACTAAAGAAGGGCCGACCGGGCCGGGGCTAGCTGGTTAGCATGCTAACTTCAGGATAAGATAAGATAAGATAATCCTTTATTAGTTACAGCAGCAAAGTGACAGTAGCTCCAAAGAAAAGAAAAAAGCTCCTGGCTCCGACGTCACATCATTATCACATCGTAATAATCGACTGTTATCATTAAAAAAAACAAAAAAAAGAACAGACAACAGCTGCTTTAAATCTGTGGAAAGTCCTTTTGAGATAACGTCACGTTCCCCAGAGAAATAAATCCAGTCTTAACAAGCTGAAACAATTAATCAATTAATCTATCGACAGAAAATTAATGAGTAACTATCTTTTTCATCGGTTACTGCTTCTCTTGTGCAATAGCAAACTCACTGAGTGAGTTTTAGACTTTCCTTTTACTTTTTTTGACATTTAATGGATAAAATGAGATTAAAAATTAATTTACAAAACAATTAGATTAACAGATAATAAAAATAATCATTAGTTGGAGCCTTAATGCCATTTCTTTTGGTTCAAATACGGCCCCATGACATTCATCCAATCATAACCCACACTGTGTTAGTGACACTCACACACTCTCTGCTTGATACGTGCCTCTGCCTGTGATCTCACCTGTGTGTGTGTGTGTGTGTGTGTGTGTGTGTGTCTCTGTGTGTGTGTGTGATGCACTCACTGTGAAGCTGTTGTTGACATTCTTTGTGCTGGACTCTGCCACGCTGGCGTCTGACAGATCCACCTCGTCAAAGATAAGGGACTGAAGAGTAAAGAACAGAAGACAACAAGAGAATTAGTCTTTGCACAAGTTTTTCAACATCTTGACTTTCTGCTACTGTCGTATTCTACAGCATGAGGAGGACGGTGAATGGCTGTGAGAGAGATGTCGTTATGGCCACAGCAAAGCAAAGACCTAAAATGAACAGGTGACACCTCTCAGTGTAAAATGGAAGCTGCTGCAGGCGTCATGAAAGACATGTCTGATACTGGAAATGATCTTTTCAATTTAAAAACACACCACACACTTGTGTTCTGCTGTTACATCTATTTTTGGTCCGTGATGAGGAGCTACAAGCTTCAGATAACAAGCAGGACTTTGTCTAAATGTTTCTCAAGCATGATGGATCACTGAGCGGGTCGACTGGGCACAGGCCCAACGACTGAGGAGAGCCGGGCCTCTGAGTGGAGCCACTGTTACTGCTGCTGTTGGAAGGTCAGATAAGCAACTGCAAAGAGACAAAAACTACTACAAAGAGAAGTAACATGACTATAAAGAGACAAAAACTATTACAAAGGGACAAAAACTACCACAAAGAGACAAAAACTACTACAAAGAGATGCAAAACTACCACAAAGAGACAAAAACTACCACAAAGAAACAAAAATTACTACAAAGAGACAAAAACTACTACAAAGAGATGCAAACCTACCACAAAGAGACAAAAACTACCACAAAGAAACAAAAATTACTACAAAGAGACAAAAACTACTACAAAGAGATGCAAACCTACCACAAAGAGACAAAAACTACCACAAAGAAACAAAAATTACTACAAAGAGACAAAAACTACTACAAAGAGATGCAAACCTACCACAAAGAGACAAAAACTACCACAAAGAAACAAAAATTACTACAAAGAGACAAAAACTACTACAAAGAGATGCAAACCTACCACAAAGAGACAAAAACTACCACAAAGAAACAAAAATTACTACAAAGAGACAAAAACTACTACAAAGAGATGCAAACCTACCACAAAGAGACAAAAACTACCACAAAGAAACAAAAATTACTACAAAGAGACAAAAACTACTACAAAGAGATGCAAACCTACCACAAAGAGACAAAAACTACCACAAAGAAACAAAAATTACTACAAAGAGACAAAAACTACTACAAAGAGATGCAAACCTACCACAAAGAGACAAAAACTACCACAAAGAAACAAAAATTACTACAAAGAGACAAAAACTACTACAAAGAGATGCAAACCTACCACAAAGAGACAAAAACTACCACAAAGAAACAAAAATTACTACAAAGAGACAAAAACTACTACAAAGAGATGCAAACCTACCACAAAGAGACAAAAACTACCACAAAGAAACAAAAATTACTACAAAGAGACAAAAACTACTACAAAGAGATGCAAACCTACCACAAAGAGACAAAAACTACCACAAAGAAACAAAAATTACTACAAAGAGACAAAAACTACTACAAAGAGATGCAAACCTACCACAAAGAGACAAAAACTACCACAAAGAAACAAAAATTACTACAAAGAGACAAAAACTACTACAAAGAGACAAAAACTACTACAAAGAGACAAAAACTACTACAAAGAGACAAAAACTACTACAAAGAAACAAAAACTACCACAAAGAGACAAAAACTACTATGGAGACCCAAAACGACCAAAAACATCACATTGTTTTCGTCTCTTTAAGGTTGGGGGTCTGGCTCTTCTGTAGGACAGGTGGGGGCCTTTTGCACGTCTGTGTCGAGGGTGTGATTGTTTCATGATGCGTCCATGTTGTCATGGTGATGACTGGCTGTGAGTCGGAGTGGGCGAGGTCGGTGGACGCTCGTGGAACTGCAGGCTTCAGCAGGACTAAGGGAAACAGCAGATGTTTATTCCTCTCAGCTTGTGCTGAGGTTCTGACCCACGCATGTCACGGAGGGCTTCATGTGGTGGTTAAACAAATCTACCACTTGGCCGACCACATGGTGGAGGGTTATTTTTAATGACGGGGACGAGGGAAAAAACTCCCTTCGTACAAAACCACTGTCATTAATCCCCTCAGACCTGATTCTTCTCATTCTCTTACATTAAAACAGATTTTTCTTCCTCATCTACGTCTCTTAATGATCTTAATATATTTTTATCATGTTCACGACAATCATTGGGTCCTTTTAACCATCTAGTGTTAAATATATTCTTATTTTTCACACTGCATATGTCCACTATTGTAAAATAAATAAAATAATAATTCTATCATCAGCCTCCTGTCCATGTTATTCTAGACTTGGGCCCATATTTAACTACTAATATCTTCTACCACTAGTATATGTTGTCACTGAGGGATTGTTTATGAAATGAAGGCGACCCCAGGAAGGAAGAGAAGCCATTGTTACAACACAGTGGTTAATGGGGATCCAACTGAGTAAATAAATTAATAAAACTACTAATAATGACACTAAAGAAGTAAAGTACCAACTTAAGAGAAAGTGTAAAATTAAGTTTTCACAAGTGACTGTTCCCATGTAACCAATCAGAAATGATATTATCTCTGAACAGGTCGTCCAATGACGTGTTTTCTCCAAGAACAAAAACAGTTTCCTTTTTTTAACATCATTTTATTTGTGATAAATCTTAAAATCTTTAATTTAGTGACTGTAAATAAAATCAAAGTCAGATTTATTGTTGTTGTTTATTTGCAGCCTGATAAATAAAAGAAAACATCTGATCAAAAGTTCAAATTAAAATTATAGAAGTACTAAAATTATTATTATTATTATTATTATTATTATTTATTTTTTTATTAAATGATGGTTGTCAGACAGAAAACAGGCGCTCTCTCCATCTCTCTACTTTCTTAACTTCTGCTGCTCTCTGACATTTAATTAAAGAAGTTTGAGAAATAGTTTTTATTCTTTTCACTTTGATTTTCACAAATTTACCTTTTAGCAGTTTGATTTATTGTCCAGTGGGATGGACATTAAATGTTGATACCATCCTGCATTTTTCTTATATTGAAAATAACACACAATATAATATTTTTTCAGTTACTGGTGCATTTTCATTGGCTGAAAAACAATGAATATTTGACGTGTATTACAGTGGACACCACTCTGCACCTACACTGCCCCCCCCCCAGTGTTTTGCCTCTTTGCCTTGATGAAGGACGTGACAGTGGATGTGAATGAGCTCCGTTGGTTTCTGTGTGTCAGACAGAGGAGAGTCTGTAGACGGCAACACGACGCGTCACACACACAGCTGAGCTCCACTGAGCCACAGGCCAAACACTGATGCTGTCAAAGGAATGCCCTCCGAGTGAGTGTGTGTGTGTGTGTGTGTGTGTGTGTGTGTGTGTGTGTGTGTGTGTGTGTGTGTGTGTGTGTGCGAGCTGCTGCAGCTGTCGGAGGGAATGCCCAGTTAACGACACTCTCTCCAGGCATGGCTGTAGAGGGACACCAGCCAACGCTTACTCTGTGTGTGTGTGTGTGTGTGTGTGTGTGTGTGTGTGTGTGTGTGTGTGTGTGTGTGTGTGTGTGTGTAAGAATGCATGGCATGCCAACACAAACATGACCCCCCCACCCCAGCACTCTTGGCTGCTATACCACTGCATCACGTGTGTGTGCTGCATGTGTGTGATTACTTTCAGTTCTATTGACACAATCTCTCTCTCTCTCTCTCTACCTAGCACACACACACACACACACACACACACACACACACACACACACACACACACACACACACAGCTGTCTTGAGGGAAGCTGTAATGGAGGCTGACAGTGGATGGTGGACAGAGACGAGCGTCCAGACTCTGTTACCCATAGATCTCAGCGGCTGCATCTCAGCGACCTCAACGAGCCTCCTTTCCTGCCTCCTTCAACGCCTCCTTCTTTCCTAGCTGTCATTTTATCTTATGTTGTTTTACTGACTTATGTACAATCAGGAGGGAGAGGAGACAAGGAGAGGAGAGAGTAGAGGAGAGGAAACAAGGAGAGGAGGAGAGGATGAGATGAGGAAACAAGGAAAGAGGAGAGGAGGAGATGAGGAAACAAGGAGAGAGGAGAGGAGCTAAGATGCAGCCTTCCTGGTGGATCAATGAGGAGGTCAGGCTTGTTCAGGCAGCACAGCCAGCCAGGTTACCGTGGCGACAGCAGAGTTGATGGACACGTAGGAGAACAGGAACTTATCTACAGACTAACATCACTGTCTGACCATGACGGAGAGAGTTCACAGAGACACGACCAAATCAACCAGGAAGTGTTTCTGTCACCTGTTCATCTCCCTGCATGGTCGTCCAGTGACAAACTTATATCCATATTATACACAGAGCGTTCAGGTCACATGGTCTTTAAAGGTCGGACGCCATGTTTAAATCAGTCTGTGAAATACACGACGCTGTCCCAACCCGTCCCCATGTGACATGAACGCAGCTCTGTGGTCTACAGGTGAGACAGGTGATGTGTTAAAGCTGTGGTTCTGGTTTGGCCCGTGGCCCCTGGCAGTGCTGTGCTGACCCGGATTCTCACTAGGCCTTCCTCAGATCCGCTGGCGCCCAGAGGGGGGGGGGAGCGGCGTGCGCCCGTCCAGCACACGGACAGAACCCGCCAGCACACGCGACTCCTGGACACCCTGCGCAGCGCCCGCTCCTGCCAGCGTGCCAGAGCACTGCCGGACTAGTGCGCACACGCAAACGCACACACACGCACACACACACACACACACACACACACACACACACACACACACACACACACACACACACACACAGGCAACAACACACACACATGTTCCAGACCAGGGAGGTTAGATCAGAGGCAAAGGGGGGAGAGAGTTCAGAAGTTAAGAGCAAAGATTTAGTGAAAGTAAAACAATGTGATTAGGGATGCCCCGATCGATCGGCTGATTTCATTAGAAACACGTGATCAGTAGATGAGAATCAATCAGTCCCTCCAGGAGTTCACAGCTTTCTTTCAGGATAGTTGCAGCTAAAATATCTGATTTCTCAGCAGCTTTTCTTAGAATTGCGATGAAAGTTGCTTTGTTTTTAAATGTTTTTAAATGTTTTTTTTGCAACAAAAGTGAAATAAAAATTGCAAAAATTGTCGCTAACTTTATTAAAATAATAATCATATAATAACAATAATTCATTAAAAATCGAAGGCAACTTGTATCAGTGAGAGTAAAGCTGCTGCCATCTTTTAAGGTGGAATATTTTCTTGAGTGTTACTTGATATGTGATTGATGTTTGGAAATCAATCAATACCCTGACCATGTGTTTTTATCAGCTCTCTCCATGACAGACTCTCAGTGATCGGATCTTCCAGCTCTTACAATGCAGACAAACATCCACGTGATCATGTGACTGCAGATATTTTATTTCCTCTGGAGAATAAACGTAGTGGAGCGTCGCTGCGGAGGCTCCAGCAGCTTTACACCTGTGGTTCCTCCACAATGATGCAGCGCTGCAGAACTATTTAACCCTTTCATGTAAAACATCTGTGAACGTCTTCACGTCTTTAACAGTGATGTCTGTTGGTGAACGTGACACGTTCGTGACTTTCTGTGCAGGGACCGGTGTGATTGGTTCAACTGGCGGGAAACTATGATGATTGGTCAAAGGTCGCTCCGAATTCACAGGGATTGGTTGAATCTGCTTTAATTATTGCGATTTTCTGGAGGGACTGATTGATGCTTCTAGTCACCGATCACCTTCAAACCGATCAGCTGTGGCTCATACTCTGGTGTCAGAACAACATGTCGGCCGTGTGGAACTTTTACAAAGTGAGTGAGACTGAACGTACAACATCTGCAATCATGACATTCATGATCAGTATTGATCTCACTCATTAATGGTCGGCATCGGCGGCAAAAAATGTGATCGCGGCATCCCTAGTTAAGATGATGGTAAATAATTATTGTGAAGTGGTACCGATCAATTAATGTGATTAGGGAAGGGAAATAAAGAATGTGACCAGGAAACGATCGGTATCAGTGTAAGAGGAAGTTACTGTGCAGAAGATGGATCATATTCAATACGAGGAAATATTAAGCTGCAGCCCGTTAGCTTAGCTTAGCATAGTTTCCCCCCATTTCCAGTCTTTATGCTAAGCTAAGCTAACTGGCTGCAGGCTCAGAGTATGTGTAAACCTCTTCCTCGTCTCTGAACCTTTTAAAGTTTTGATTCCAGACACTAAAACAAGTGAATCGTGGGATCAGAGAAAAGAGATTACACATCAACACTGACAGCAGGAGACCTGAGAGCAGCAAACCTGCTCACCTGAGCTGAGCTGAGGTGAGCCTACCTTGGCATCTTTGGCGTAGTAGAGAGTTCGGCCTCTCAGCTTGAAGTAGCGCTTCTTCCACCTCTGGAAGGAGCTGGTCTGTTTCAGCAGCAGTCCCTCCTTTATACTCGTCTGCAAATAAGCAATAAACATGATGAATAACAGATTTTGCAGGTGTCATATCAGAGAAAGGGTCCATCAGAAAATTACACAAAGCTCGAGATAAAGTCTGAGTCACACAAAACACCTTAAGTTAATATTTCCCTTAAGGCCTGAGTTAAGATTTCCTTTAGAGAAAACACAATGACCGTGATGAATAATAGTTTTATGAGGCGTCTTATCAGAGAACAGTTCCATCAGAAATTTACACAATGCTTCAATCAAACACACACACACACACACACACACACACACACACACACACACACACACACACACACACACACACACATCTGGCACCATCTTGTATTTATCTACAGGAAACTGTCGAGATAAAAAAAAGTGTGTACTGTTTATGTGTGTGTGAATCTGGGCAACAATTTTATGCATGGGAGACAAGGAATAGGCCAATAAGTGAAGAAGAAAGGGAAGCCATTACACACACACACTCTGCAGAGCTGTAAACACACATCACTCACACTCAACCTTGTCCTCAGAGAGAAAAGAGTGATGGACGTAGAAGGAGAGAGAGAAAGAAAGAAAAAAGAAAGGATGGCATCCCACAGACACAGAGGACGAATCACAAACAAGCAAGACAGTGTGAGGAGGAGGAGTTTAAATAAGCTTAAAGAATGATGGGAAGACGAGGACTTCCTGTCTCTGATACAACCTGTGTGTGTGTGTGTGTGTGTAACACCGAGTCCGAACATCGCTCCATGTGCAACACACTCATCACCATTAAGACCACCATCATCTTGCGTACACACACACACACACACACACACACACACACACACACAGAAAATACAGAGCAAATACAGCGAGACATGGAACAGTGGACATGGAAAAGATAAAACACACACACACACACACAGATGGAAATGCTGTGTGGGGGGGAACATCAATCTCTCTGGGCACACAAGAGGAGAGGTGGGGCACACACACACACACACACACACACACACACACACATTGAGGCTATTTATAGCAAAGGAAGGCTGCTCTCCAAGGGGAGAATTACAAACAGACACAGAGGCCTGAAGCTGACATCCTGCCCACCAGCTGTGTCAACTTAAACACAGAAAACACTGCAGCAGAATACAGGACACACACACACACACACACACACACACACACACACACACACACACACACACACACAGATTATTACAAGTCATGAAAAGAGATGAATTTGTTGTTTGACTATTGCTGCTTCACTGAGCGAGTGATTCTTAAAGGGACAGTTCACTCAAACTACTAACACATATTTTCTTAATAAACTAATGAACCTTCACCTTGTGTCAGTACAACACAGGTGAATGTTACCATCACACTGTGGCACCAGAACACTGAACAACTCCAGTCACAACAACAGCAACGATATTCCAGAAACAGTGTCTGTATACAACTGACACCACCTGCCAATTAATTGATGAGTTGATCGACAGAAAATGAACTATAATGATGATCGAACAATAAGTTTCAGTCGTGTATCAAGCAAAAACAAACAAACAAGAGTTTTCTGGTTCCGGCTTCTCAAACATGAGGATGAAGGGCCAGCTGCACAAAACACCTTAAGTTAAGATTTTCCTTAAAGTCTGAGCTAAGGTTTCCTTAGAATAAAAACTGCTGCACAAAACACCTTAAGTCTTCTCTTTAATGTTTCCTTCAAATGTTTGTGGCACAAAAGCCCTTAGCGACCGTAGTTCACGGTATCACAGGTGCTGATGGCAGCAAACCAACAGTCTCAATGGAAACTGCTGTAAAATCTCTTTCACTGCTGTAAATTACTTAACTTTTATCCTAAGTGTGTCATTAAGTAGAAAACGTAAGGTGTTTTGTTCCTTTTCGTCATCATACATCACAGTACAGTGAGTATCTCTGGACGTTTGGATGAAGGGACATGAAGACGGCAGTTTGAGCTCCGGGGAGACGATACTCTACAGACTGATGGATCATGAAAAGGGGATATTTGAAAGGAAAGTAGTTCCGCTGAGTTAGTTTTTCTCTCTAGGAGAAAGTAGCTGCACGGCTAAATACCACTGAGGCTACGTGAGAAAACGTGGTTTGTAATTAAGGTGGAGTGATCGTTAAGACAAGCACCACACTGATGTTGTTGCATTTTCATGAAGTTTGAGAATTCAAAATCAAAGCAGCAGAGGCCGAGTGGATCCTTGCACTGGATCCTGCACTTCCCACTTCTGAGCCTTTAAAAAGCTTCCTGTGGTCTGTAACTGACAGTCGGACTAAACTCAACTTGATGTGACAAAGTGAAAAGAAGTGGAGACAACAGAGGGTCCTTGACAGAATCTGAGGGGGCCCTTCCTCAAGGACGAGGTCAGCTTCACTTCAGTCCCAGTCCTCGTCGTCAGTCTGGACAGACACGGTGACTGAGTGGTAAAAAAACAAACAAACAGGAAGTGGGCACATTGTGAATTTTCTCAAGCAGCTGTCTACCTACGTTAATTCCCTGCTTCCCTTTCCGTAGGTACGGCATGAAGACCACATTCCTGCCACGGATTAAGGTGAAATACCTCAATGCCGACTACCCTATAAGGCCTCAGCTGCTTCGCCTGCAACTGCAATCACAGTGGGACTGAGACAGCGGCGGTGGATGAAGTCATCTCCTCATTCAGAGCCCAGCGGCTCGTTTTCATCCCAACTGAGCTGATGTTGTGAAGAAACTAAAGGCACAGAGTGGCGTCGACGGTTCTTCCTTCGCAACACCACCGCTGACATGCAAACACATGCACACTCACGTGGGCGTGCACACATGTTGCGGGCCGTACAATCAGCTGATTGGACAGTTAATCCAACCAGAAGTGGGGAGGTCGACTGAGAGGCTTAATGAGCATCTCATGACTGACCGAGACAAACACACAGGGCTGCTAACTGTGAGCTGCACTAGTGTTGGCACGGCCAAACACACACACTCACTGAGCACTTTATTAGGAACACCTTCTCACTCACGCAGTCCAATCACGCAGCAGCAGTGCAAAGCATCACCTCCTGCAGATCCAGGTCAGGAGCTTCACTTAAAGCTCCTCCAGTGTAAAGGTCTGTGTCCATGTGTAGTGTGATTATAGATCAGCTCTAGCTTCTATATTAATACTGTGAAAGTATCAAAGCCTCAGTCCACAGAGAAATGCACACAGCCTGTATTCAGAAACTGAGCCTTAAAACCAGCCGTCAGGACTTCTGGAACTTTGTGATGTCACAATGGAGACTGATAGATCTAACTAATTCTAAGCTAACTCTTTCTACTCCTTCAACTTTAAACATATCATTTGTCTCTATGATAGTCCAAATGATGGCGCTCTTGAATATCTGCTGAACTTCATCATTTTAAGTGTAAAATTCTTCATCCACGAACAGAAATCTGCCAAATCAACAAATTCTTCTTTTCTCCTGGAACTGAATTCACTCAAATCACTCGGTTCATTAAACAACAAAAACACTGAGAAGCTTTTGGAAAATTATGAAAAACTTTTTCTCTGTTACCTCTGACTTTTTTTTTCTTTTAAAGAGGAATTTATCTTTTCATATTTTTATTCCTCTTATGTTCACCTGTTGTACTGAAGTTAAATTCTGCTTTTATGTGCTGTTGTATTACCTGAATTACTGTACAAACAAAAAAAAAAACAATCCCCAAGCCCCGCCCACCTGGACCCACCATTCAAACCTTGCAGGATTTGGTGTTTTACCTGAAATGTGCTATATCTTTATTGGATCACTCAGAAATAAAACTACACTGAGATGATTTTGGTTCTTAAAGCCACAAATATATCTTCTTATGGATCAACACTAAAATAAAACAGAGGAAGAAGAAAATATGGAGCTTTAACTCCACATCAAACATCAGAACGAGGGAAAATGTGACTCTGAGCGTGACGTGGTCGCTGGTGTCAGACGCTGGGTTCAGTATTTCTGCAAATTTCCACTCACATCAGTCTCTCGAGTTTTTACTCAGAATGGAGCAACAACAAAAAGCATCCAGTGAGCAACAGCTCTGTATTGATGAGAGAGGTCAGAGGTCAGAGGAGAATGGACAGGAAGTTCCACGGTCACTCTGTACACCTGTGATGAGCAGAGTCCGACCTACAGACCGCGTCAGGTTCCACTTCCTGAGACCAACAGGAGAAATGATGCATCCTGTCCACACGGAGCAGAGTCTCAGAGGAACATCTGGATCCAGTGTTAGGGAGGTGTTCCCAACAATGTTTTACAGATGAAACGATTAATCGATTAATGAAGGAAATAACCTGCAGATTAATCATTCCCAGCACTGATGAGAGCTGCTGCACCTTGAGGCGGAGAAACATTCATTACCCAGAGTTTTTGTCTGAAGACAAACTTTCAGACTCTCAACAAAAGTGGAACTTTAGTTTGTCTTTTTCTGACCAGCCAGAAGAGCAGAAGTGACTTTGCTCTAGTTGGATGTTCTATTTTCTATTTTGTCCCTCCTTGGCCTCCATAGTTCCTTTCCTTGTCTTCATCTCCTTCCTGTTGCCAAGTAGGCCAGAAGTGATCTATAAATAGTCGCTGTGCTTCGCCTCTGTGCGCTGCTGCTCCTCTCTTCTGCTAAATTGTGAGACACACTGAGCGAGTCCTGTGCCAGAGAAGGAATGAGTAACCTGAGCACCACGTACACACACACACACACACACACACACACACAGACACAGACACAGACACACACAGACACAGACACACACAGACACAGACACACACAGACACAGACACACACAGACACAGACACACACAGACACAGACACACACAGACACAGACACACACAGACACAGACACACACAGACACAGACACACACAGACACAGACACACACAGACACAGACACACACAGACACAGACACACACAGACACAGACACACACAGACACAGACACACACAGACACAGACACACACAGACACAGACACACACAGACACAGACACACACAGACACAGACACACACAG